TCCACACTTGGAGTAGCAGGAACCTAGAGCTTTATTTTCCAGGTTTCGGTAATTGTTCCTGTCTTGTGACTTTTTTTACTCCCGTTTGTCTTTCAGAGTTTGGATTATGATCGCTGTATCAATGACCCTTACCTGGAAGTTTTGGAGACCATGGACAATAAGGTGAATCCCTTATTGATTCCTTGGGACTGGAGAGATCTCACAGTAGCTTCTTTTTCCCATCTAAATGCCCCTGTGAATAGCCTTACTCCCGTGGCTTTTAGCCCCTTTTGTGAGATATCTGCATTTACTCCTGAAACCTTCACCCTGTCAACCACAGTACCCACAGCCAGTGTACCTGGCCCAGCCTCTTACAGTATATCCTTCTGGCCTTGTAAAGCACCTGCTATAGCAGACGCCATTACCGTGCTTGCTGTCCCTGTGGAATCTAGCCTGACCCTGATGGCCAAGATGTGTTCCTTCCTTGCTGCCAACAAAGCCGTATAATGAACTGAGCTTGTCTTTCTCTGTGTGAACAGAAAGGTCGCAGGTATGAGGCGGTGAAGTGGATGATGGTGTTTGCCATTGGAGTCTGCACTGGGCTGGTGAGCAGGCGGGGGCGTGGGGACGTGGCGGGCCAGAGGGGTGGCAGAGGTCAGAGGGCAAGTCATTTGTCATGATAACAGAGACCACCTTTTCTGTTTTTCTCCCCCGCCCCCAAATAATCATCCTGACACCGTTTTCATGTCTTGTTTTTCTCTTTATGAAAGTGAACCAGACATCACTGGTACTCTTTAAAGCACTCAAAGGCTTGGTTAGGACCAAGCTGTCGTAACATGGCATTGTCCCGTCAGGTAGACATAGTGGGGAGAGTACAGAGTGGAATCTGAGGTCACTCTGTAGGGAAAAAGCAAAGTAGTGGAACAAAACCGACCGTCATACCCTTTCCTTTAGTATGGCGTGCCCATAAGCAGGACACCGTAGACCTCGGTGAATTTATTGTCCTGGGCTGCTTCCCTGCACGTGGCTTGTTTTATCTAGAAGGTAGAGCTGGTGGCTGTGGGTGGAGGAACACGCCTGAATACACTGGGGCCTGGGGTCGGCTTGCTCGTACGTGAATCACAGACCAGAAAAGATTATGAAACACTGCCAAACTTGAGTAGTAGCACAAGGCCTGGAATCCTAACTGCTGACCTAACCACACTTAAAGCTGGGGAAGAGAAACTGGAAAAGTCAGCAGACAGTCAAAATGAGATGTCAGATACGATTTGCCATCAGTACAGTGTTAGAATAGGCAGTCTTCCTCCATCAGGGCTGCTATAATAAAAACACCGACTTGCAGGGACTTAAACAACAGGTGTTTATATCTCACGGTCCTGGAAGCCAGGAAGTTCAAGATCAGTGGTACCAACAGATCTGTGTCCTGGGCTTCCTGGCTCCTGGCTGTGTCCTCACAGGGCAGAAGGGGGCAAGAGCTCTGTGGGGTCTTTTATAAGGCTACTAACCTTATTCACGAGGGCTCCATGCTCAGGACTTACTTAAACCACCCAAAAGGCCCCATCTCCTAAGGTCGTCACAATGGGGGTTAGAATTTCACCAGATGAATTTGGGGGGGAGGGGGGATGCAAACGTTCAGTCCAGGACTGGGGTTATAAGTATTCCTAAGCAGCAGCCTGTTTATGTCTCTGGAATGACTACAAGTCTCACCTTGACTCTGTATGATATACCCATAAAATGCAAACGTGTTTAATGTAACGTAGCCACAAAGGCTATGACCAATTTTTATTTTCCTGGCGCTTGTCAAATTTTTACTGTAGTAAATTCAGAGGCCAAGGACCATCTTACTAGTTAAGACAGACAGCACTCAGAAGGCCTCTTTAGTGACATTCTGATGGATGCCGATGTGGGGGGAACTTCGGTTGACCGAATTGTTTTACTGAAATTTTAGAGTGTCTACTTTGTTGTGTGTGTTTCTGGTTGCAAATTTCCCGGCAATAAGCATCTACATGTTTAGTCTTTCTGCTACTTTCATATCAAGCTCCTTTGAGCTGCCATTTATCGGTACCAGCAACTATACCGCGTACCTTCGTGTTATTGGAAGGCAGACTTGCCTTTATAGCCTAGCAACCAGCTCTTGTTACTGCTTGGCTCTCTTATCCTTAGATCTGTCACGGTATCTGCTGCAGTACTTGAAAGCCTCCAGGCATTGGCTTGAGGGAAGGCCAGAGTCAAAGGCATGAAGCCTTTGATCCTGAATCCACCAAATCATAAACCTTTCCTGAAGTTCTCCTTTAAGCCCCGAGCCGAGACTTGGGGCGTAACATGGACTGGTTGGTGGAGCTTTTCCATACACACCTGAGTAAACGTTGTTTTTCAAAGTTACATCCTAAGCTATATACTTAGCTAAGCATCACTGAAGATATTACTGGAATTCTTCATCTGAGACTGCCTTTGGAACATGCTGAGCAGTCCAGGATTCTGGATATTACTGTAGTCACAGGATGGCCTTCCTCGGTTTCACGTCTTTTCCGGCATCCTTTTCCCTCTTTGTTTTACTCTCCTTCTCTCGGCAGAGCTATGCCCCCATCCTTTGTTCTTTGGAGAGGCGGTGGGGCCAGGCTGGCAGGGAATCTCCTGGAGAGTCAGAGTCCCTAACAGGAAACCTGTTTCCGCATTGCCTGTTGGTAACGCGGGTGCAAAGCGCCAACCAGGAAAGGCCAGGGGGTCATCCCAGCATTTGAGCAAAGTACCTGCGCCCCGGTGGGGAAAAGCTGTGTGACGGTTTGCTTGCTCTTCACAGGTGGGTCTCTTTGTGGACTTTTTCGTGCGCCTCTTCAGCCAGCTCAAGTTCGGAGTGGTTCAGACCTGTATCCTTTTCCCGGTTCTTGGCATTCCCAGATGTCAGCAGTCTCTGACTTTGCTCTCTTACCTAAGAACAGTAAACAGGGTCTGTTGAAGAGTTTTTATTAGCCATTCAGCTTAAGTTTTTTAATGATCATTGAAGGACACAGGAGGAAGAATTTGATAGAGACTCGTGTTCAGGTTGGTAAGACACAGATCCCACAAGATGCCTGCTCTTCCCAATCATCTATAAATTCAGTGTGTTCCAGTCACAATTCCAGTAGAGTTTTCGAGGAACTGGAAAATTCTCTTCCTAAATTTGTTGGAAAGAGTAAAGGGCCGAAGGTGGTCGAGACAGTTTTGAACAAGCAGGGGGAACTTGTCCTACTCAACGTGAAGGCTTGCGTAATTTAAGATATAGTAACTGAAACCATGTCATATTGGTGCAGGAATTCCCAGTTAGGCCAACGGAAGGTAACAGAAGCAGAAATTAGCTTGCACATGTAGAGAAGTGTGGTGAATGACAGAGTTAATGTTGTAAGTCTGTGAGGAAGAGATAGATAATTTAACAAAAGATGCTGGGACACTGGTTATCCATCTGGAAAAATATAGATTCCTACTTTGCACTGTAAATTAATTCTAGATGGATTGAAGATGTAAATAAGCAAAACAAAACTTGAAGAGACCACGTGATGTCAAGAGTAGGGAATAATTTCTTAAAACTCCAGGAGGCGCAGAGTGAAAGGGAAAAAGATCAATAAACTTGACCACAGCAAAGTAAGTTTGCTTTTCTTTCTTTTTTTAAAAAAAAATTTTTAACGTTTATTTCGTTTGGAGAGACAGAGTGCAAGCAGGGGAGGGGCAGAAGGAGAGGGAGACACAGAATCAGAAGCAGGCTCCAGGCTCTGAGCTGTCAGCACAGAGCCCGCCACAGGGCTCAAACTCACAAACCGTGAGATCATGACCTGAGCCGAAGTCAGATGCTTAACCGACTGAGCCACCCAAGCACCCGAGTTTGTTTTTCATGCAAACAAAAAACCTCAAACCACAAGAATAAAACACCATAAACAAAATGAAAAACGAGTCCACAGCCTAGGAGAGGTGGTTCACCATACATTTAAGAGGCAAGTAATTCGTATCTGGAACATAGGAAGAGCTGCAACTCGGTAAGGAAAAAGCCTAATAGAAAAATGAGCAAAGGAGCAAACAGGCAATTCTCAGAAGAGGAAAATTGAATGGTCAGTAAATAAACCTGGGTCCCCCTCACCACTACCCAGGGAAATGCCAGCCAAATAGACAGCAACTCCTGAATCCCTCTTTTTCCTGTGGACCTTGGACCTGGGACACGTACGTACCCGTTCATTACAGCTTTGTGATTGCAGAAAAGTGAAACCACACCAGGTGGGAGAATGGAAACATTGTGCCACTACAATGGTACCATGGTACAGTGGTTCGTATGGTGTGATTTTATGCAGAATTTACAATGAATGAACCAGCGCTGTATATATCAACATGACTAATTCTCAAAAACTTGATGTTGAAGAAGAGAAAAGAGGAAATTGTAGAGTGTGTATGAAGTGCAATCCCATTATTTTAGTTTTAGAAACATACACTACGGTACGGCTACGTATAAAAACACAGAAAGACACACAATAATTTCAGGTTAGTGGTTTCTCTGAGGGGAGAGAGGGAGGGAAACAAAGGATTTTTTTTTAATGGTATCTAATATTTTAATTAAAATAACCTGGAGCAAATTCAGGATTTGTTAAAGGATGGGGGGGGGGGGAAGGGTGTTTGTTACTTTTTATAAAGTGAAGTATTGATGTGAAATGTTGGGGTCCGGGAGTGAATGGTCAAGAAAGATTCCTGCGACGTTTTCGGTGCAAAAAAAGGTGGTCTTATTAAAGCACAGGGACAGGAGCCATGGGCAGAAAGAGCTGCCCCAGGATTGTGAGGAGTGAGTGATTATATACTTTTAAGTTGGGAGGGGGTCAAGGATAGTGTTAAGTCTTTAAGGAATTTGGAAGCAAGGTTTCCAGGGCCTTGAGAGGCTAGCTGCTGTTAAGATAAAGTTATTTACCATTGTCTAGTAAAATCTTTGTCGTGGAACCCTTCAGATGTGTTATCAGTGGGCCGTATGTTTGAAGGATGATTGCTAACATAAACCTTGGGTTGGGAGTTGAGATAAAAGAAGTTTCCAAAGGGATTTTCGTATGTTAAAGAAGACGGAGGATCCCGGAGGTCGAGCAAATGTCAAACTAAAGTTGCCCTTTGCCAGGAGCATTAAGGGTCAGACATTTGAGCTCCTGAAGGGCAATCACTGTACCACCTCAAGTATTTGTCGATGGGCTGCAAGTTGTAAGGTTGAGTTTTTCTACATTCCTTTTGCCTTTGTTCTCCCCATCACTATTTCATAATTTAAAAATGGCCCCTAATGTAGAAGACATCTCAGGCAGTTTCCTTTTTTTTAAGTTTATGTATGGAGAACAGGAAGATGCACAGGAAACAGCCACTATGTCTTAGAGGAAGGGACACCGCACCATTTCAGGTGATGGTGGGAACGCCTTTGACTGGCGGAGCATGTTTTCCTTAACCCTGGTTCTGTAGCGGTGGAGGAATGCAGCCAGAAAGGGTGCCTTGCCCTGTCCCTCCTCGAGCTCTTGGGTTTCAACTTGACCTTTGTCTTCCTGGCAAGCCTTCTCGTCCTGATTGAGGTGAGGTGGTGTGGGTGTTGCCTTTTTGCTAATGAAGTTTCGGATTCTTTCGTGTCCACTGCTAGAAATGCCGGGAAGCTGAATCAGACTTAGAAATGTAAGTTCCGGCAGAAAGTGGCCCCTCCTACACTTAAGAGTTGTTTCTGAAAGTAAAGGTTTCAGCCTCTGGTGAGATTACAGAGGAAAAGTCCAGATTAGGAGGGTGGTTCTCAACCGTGGCAGCACATTAGAGTCACCTGGGGGACTTTAAAAAATGACTTTAAACTAACTTTAAAAATGGCACATACCCAGCTCAAATGAATGAGATCGGAGTCTCTGGAAGGGGAATGTCTGCTTTGGCAGGTGCAAGTTTCCCAGGTGATGCTGACTCACCGGAACCTGTTAGGAATGCAGCTGTTTCGGTTTCCCCTCAGACCTGCTGAGTCAGAAACTCAGGGTGGGGCCCACGGGGTGATGCTGATGCGAATGAAGGGCAGCCCCACCCCCACCCCCCACACCTTGGTAGTGAGGCTGTTGCCAGTAAGCCATAGGACCAATGGATTTTGAGTTTATGGGTGTCCTACTCTCCCCCATCAGCCAGTGGCAGCAGGTTCTGGAATACCCGAAATCAAGTGCTACCTGAACGGTGTGAAGGTGCCCGGAATTGTCCGTCTCCGAACCCTGCTCTGCAAAGTCTTTGGAGTGCTGTTCAGTGTGGCTGGAGGTAAGGAAGCTCTTTCTGACTTTTATCCTGCCAAGTATTCAGGGGGTGAAGACAACAAGAAGCATCATGTACGTAAATTAAGTCGATCTGGATTTGAAGGGCCTGCCCTCAGACCCCTGCACTGTTTCTTGGTAAGTCATTGTTTTAAATGTAGACACGTTAGGAAGTTACCAGAGATATGTGACAAACACATTTAGTTTTGGAGTAGTGTGACCATCTAGTTGGTCCATGGAGTTGGCTTTTAGCAAAGTCAGCAAGCTTTTTGTGTAAACAACCAGACAGTAAATATTTTAGGCTTTATGGGCCAAGAGGCAAAAGGGGAGATATTATGTAGGTACTTAAACCTCTATAACCATTTGAAATAGATCCATATAAGGATGTAAAGACCAGGGGCACCTGGCTGGCTCAGTCGGTGGAGTGCATAACTCTTGACCTCGGGGTTGTGAGTTCGAGCCCCACGTTGGGTGTAGAGATTGCTTAAAAATAAAATCTTTAAGGAAAAAAAAAAGAAGGTAAAAACCATTTTTAGCTCCCAGGCTGTAGAAACAGACATTGAATCTATCTTGGCCCACAGACTATAGTTTTCTGACACCTCCATTTAAAGAGTATTTTCTCTTATTTGATGGGAATTTGACTCTCTTACAAAGTCATATAATCATCTCTGTTGTACGGCTGTCTTACAAAGTCATATAATCATCTCTGTTGTACGGCAGAGTCTACATAGCAGAGGTCTCCTAACCAAGCGGGGTGTCTGTGCTGACTGGTGGTCTCCCCTTTTCCACCTGTTCCCAGGGCTCTTTGTGGGGAAGGAAGGCCCCATGATCCACAGTGGAGCAGTGGTGGGAGCTGGCCTGCCTCAGGTAAGAGTTGATGGGCTGGGACAATACATCCCTCACAGCGGGCCCCTGGGCAGGGGCACGTCTATGGTTGAGTTGATAACCAGTTCGTCGGGAGCACCTAACGTGGCTTTGGAACCAGATGTCAGTTTGGGTTGAGGTGGAAACTGTCCTGTCATCCAGGAGAGTGGGTAACTGGTACCTTGAGGTTTTAACAAGGCCCTGCTGAGTGCCCGGAGCAGCCATGGGACATTCTGTTCGAATGAAAGTCACCTGGTGCGCCCACAGCCATTGCCGAGCACCTGCACGTCCAGGGGCTTGATGGGTCATCTACATGCTGCCAAACCCGAAGAGGCTGGAGGCATTGACCGAGGCGGTCTCAGGCCCAGGTCTGTTCCGACCCCCTTTGGGGTAGCACAGGAAAGGTAGCAGCCGCTGTCTGCTGAGTGCCCTCTGGGCCAGACTCTCCATATACCGACTTCTTTCTTCTTTCAAGCCGCCTCAAGGGTTTGGTTGGCCTCAGTCATCCCCATTCGCATTTGAGGAAACTGAGCAGCCGGCTCGGGACGCCAGAGCTCCCGCTTCTCACGGTTTTTCTGGATTCCCCAGCTGCCAGTTGGAGAAGTCTGTGTTTCCTTGTAGACAGCCCTCGTGCTCTGAGGGAAGAGTCGCTGTGGCTGTGGGTTGTCCAAGCCCATCTTCTGGTCTCTCTCTTGCTACTGCGTCATCTCCTTCACATCAAGTGCTCATCCTGGCCTCCCAGGAGTGAGCGGAGACGGGGGTGGGGGGGAAGGCCAGGTGAGGGCCGGGCGGCAGCAGCCTGAGAATTTGCTGGACACATTGGAGGATGGCTCTCCCGGCCCCTTTCTTCCTGACCTCCCCTGAGCAGAGCCTACTTCATCTTCTGCAGCTTTCAGATCCTCCTTTTGCTCAGCAGTTTTCCCTTTTGCTTTGCTTTGTTTCTTTTTTTTTTTTTTAAGATTTATTTATCTTGAGAGAGAGAACATGAGAACACGTGCACACATATGTGTGTGCGCACGTGAGTGGGAGAGGGGCAGAGAGAGAATCCCGTGCTGTCAGCGCGGAGCACATCGTAGAGCTCAATCCCATAACCCTGAGCCGAAATTGAAATCAATAGTCGGACGCTTAACTGAGCCATCCAGGCACCCCTCCTCTTCTCTTCCTTCCTGACTTGTTGACTGTGCACTAAATGCGATTTCCAAAGATCCTAGAAATATGGGGGCAGGAAAAGAAGTTCTTTCCAAAAATGATGCCTTTCCCCCCCCCCCCCATGTTGTTCTTCTGGACTTCTCCTTCTTGTAACACATCTGGCTGGGTGTGCTCAAGCAAAGGGACTTTCCAGGACCTCGGTCCCTGTGGGCCCCCCCTCTGACTTTGTTTTCCTTTCCTCTAGTTTCAGAGCATCTCCTTACGGAAGATCCAGTTTAACTTTCCCTATTTCCGAAGTGACAGGTATGAAAACCCAACCCACTTCATTTCCTGCTGCTCAGACCCCTACAGTCACTGAAGCTGGCTTGTGGTCTGCCTGGCCAGGCAGGCTGTGTTCGGAACCCAACCATCAGAGAAGGAGGGGGGGGCTTTGAGTGTTTCTGAGAATACGCACTAGGGCCATGCTGGCATCATGGCTTCTATTTTATCATGACCTAAGGCCTAGAACCATCTCAGGCAATGAAGAAGACAGCCCAGTATCGAATACATGACCAAGAAAGTCCATAGGCGTATTGTCGAGAGCGTGTTTTATGTTCCTAAATGTCATACTTGGCCAGCTGCCTCTGTGGGTTGCAAGGTGCTCTTCCTGGTACTTTTTCGCCCCGTGGGATTTGTGTGTGTTACTGACCTGCACGCCTTGCTGGGCCCTTGCAATCAGGGGCCCAGGTTCAGAGCTGTCCATCTTCTCGTATTGGGAGTCACTGTTACCGCTCCTCTGCATGTAAACAGCGCTTTGACATTTTTCACTGGTGCTGAGGCTTGCTGGAAGAAAGATCTGGTGAGAACGTGGCTCAGCAGTGACCGACAAAAGTCTGCACTCAGTCCGTGTTCAGAGCAGACTGACGTCAGGGAGCCCCTCCGACTCAGGAGTGTGTTTGGCTCTTAGGTAAACCGTATTTGCTGCTCAGTCGGCCTCACCAGACACCTGCCCGTCATGAGCCCTGACTGTTTGCGCGTCACAAGACATTGGTGGACCAGGAAGTAAAAACTGCCTTCTGCGGCCTGAGGACTCTTTTTTTTGGGGGTAAACCACCTGTCTGTCTTCTCTCCCCCAGAGACAAGCGGGACTTTGTATCAGCGGGGGCAGCTGCTGGAGTTGCTGCAGCTTTCGGGGCTCCCATCGGGGGGACCCTGTTCAGTCTGGAGGAGGGCTCATCCTTTTGGAACCAGGGGCTCACGTGGAAAGTGGTAAGGAGGACTTTGAGTGAAAACCTTTTCCTAAACCTAAAACCGCTCCCGCCCCCGAATTAAACTAGACATCTCTTACTTGGTGTGTTTACCTGTCATTTGGTTGAGACCAGGACGGGTGACTGTATCAGAAAGTCCTTTGCTCTAGCCCCTTAACCTCCAAACTCTGGACTTTTCTGTACTTTTCCTGTTAATGCCTCCATCCTCAAATCAAACTGCCCTTGTCCTCTGTTGATGAGCCGTCTGGCGTGACAATGGGAGACCGGCTGAGGTCAGAGGCAGGCAGTGGCAGAGCTTGGACTTGAACCCTACTAGCGTCCTACCTCAGACTACTGTGTTCCTCCTCTCGTATTTGCTGTTCCTTTTAGGGCACAATATCCAGTCCATAATAGGCGCTAAATAAACGGACTCTCCCAATAGGCTGTTGAACGCATACTTCTTACGGCCTGATTTCACACTTTCTCACGTTTGAGGTGTGCCCACGGCGGGTTTCTGTGCAGGGCAGTAGGTTTCCTGAGGCCGCGTCCAGCAGAAAGTAGGACTTGTCACTACTGAATGTTCTCGTGCGTCCCCTTTTCTCCTAGCTCTTTTGTTCCATGTCCGCCACCTTCACCCTCAACTTCTTTCGTTCTGGGATTCAGTTTGGGAGTTGGGGTTCCTTCCAGCTCCCTGGATTGCTGAACTTTGGCGAGTTTAAGGTAGGTTTTATCCTTTCTTCCATAGTTGTTGGTTTTTGTTTTTGTTTTTGTTTTTGTTTTTACTTGACCTATGAAAATCGCTCTTAAGTACCAGAGAGAAGTGGTCAGAAGGGCAGGTATGGCTTCCGGTGGGGCATCTCTGCCCTGTTAGTCTCGTGTGTGTGCTCAGTGCTTGGCGTGGGTGGGCTTCCAGCACCGCACTGGCTCTTGTAGAAAGAAAGCAGCCTTGCCTCTTACTTCTTTCTTCTCTGCTTCTATCCCTCCCTGTTCTCACGGGCACTATGGTTTTTCTCTCTCCCTCCCTTGCCCCTTCTCTCAGTGCTCTGACTCTGATAAAAAATGTCATCTCTGGACAGCTATGGATTTGGGTTTCTTCGTCGTGATGGGGGTCATTGGGGGCCTCCTGGGAGCCACATTCAACTGTCTGAACAAGAGGCTTGCAAAGTACCGTATGCGAAACGTGCACCCGAAACCTAAGCTCGTCAGGTACCTGTGCAGTCGCCTCCCCAGCCTGCCGTGGCTCCCTGAGCTTCCTGTGGACCGGGCCACCTCTCCCTAGGAGGGCGAGCGTGTGAACTGACCCCCCTTCCCGTGCCAGCTTTGATTTCATGTCTCAGACAGAAAACACAGACGGGGTCGTAGATCTCCTCTATTTGTCAGACAGGCCAAAAGGCTGAGTCTGAGCTTAACTTACATCAGAGTTGCTGGTTGAGTCCCAGCCGTTAGGACACGTGACAGAGTCCAAAGGCTCTCACCCCGGGACCTAAAATGGAGGGCCATTTTGTTCCTCTGAGAGAGATGATGTGGATGTCGCAGCCCGTGTTACTGGCTACCCACTGTTTACATACGCCTTGCTGGGATGCAGTGAGTCGCTGACAAATTCTGCACAGATGCTGACTGACTAGAGGCTGCCGGGCGTGCTCTTTGGGGAAGTGATGGTTGGGGGTAGACAGGGTTGTGGCTTTTTAGTTCCCAGGACTGGGGTGTGTTTTTATCTTGTAATAACAGCTGTGCTTTGCTTCCTAGAGTCTTAGAGAGCCTCTTGGTGTCCTTGGTAACCACTGTGGTGGTGTTCATGGCCTCGATGGTGTTAGGAGAATGCCGACAGATGTCTTCTTCGAGTCAAATCGGTAATGACTCATTCCAGCTCCAGGTAACCCCTGTGCACCTGCTACCTTTGTCCTCTACCCACAAAAAAAAAAAAAAAAAAAAGAAGAAGAATCCAGAAATGTATGACCTGCCTCTGCTTAGGGCTAGTAGATACGTTGGGTTCATTGCTCTGCGCCTGTGTCAGATTGCTCAGAGATCGAGGAATCTGTAGTGGCCTTTCTACTGAAGCAAGAATGTGCACGCTCTGTCCTTTTCACTTTGGTGAAGAGTCATGGACGTCCTAGAGGGGAAGTCTTCTCTCTCTCCAGCCCCCCGGCCCCCCTTTCTATTGATCCATTTTAACTGGAGACCAGCTCAGGAAGCTGATCATCCCTTCTTCATCAGGCCCCAGTTTCCTCTTCTAACTCTTCACCCCTGAAAGGTGCCCACCAGCCTCACCATGATTGTGAGAATCACCCCTAAGATGGGGAGAAAGGAATGTCTGTTTTGGGGTGATCAGTCATCTGGCTCTCCTGGCATCTTCTGGTTCTTACTGGGTTTAGGTCATTTACTGGCATATGTTCTTTTTCCGTCTCTCTTCCTCTCTCTTTTTAGGAGTATTTAGTATTTTCTAGAACCTTTCCCTGAAAGAGCAGGGTCATTGAGGGAAGCATTAGAGCTTTGTCCCGCAAGTTTTTGGTCCAACCTGTTGGGTTTAGAGAGCCGCATCTGGTCAGCCAGATGCAAGGTTCTGGCCTCTAGGTTAGGGGCTCAGGAGTGTTCACTAAGTCCCCTGTCTTCTTGTTGCCCCTGAGTAGCCACTAAGCTCCCTCAAGGCCTCGGTAGGGACGTTGTCTTGGATGACTGTCCTTTTGGTGTCCCCAGGAGCATCCACAAATAGCACGTGTTAGATCAGGTGTCAGCAAACTATGGCCCACGGGCCAGAGCTGGCCTTTGGCAACTGCTTGTTTTTGTGTAGCCCCCGAGCCAAGAACAGTGTTTGCATTTTTAAAGGCCGTTAAGGAAAAGAAGAATGTGCAACAGAGACTGTCTATGGCCCGCAAAGCCTAAAAGATTTGTTATGTGGCTCATTATAGAAAAAGTTTGCCAGCCACTATCGCTAGTCAGTCCTGAGGCGATCTCATCACCAGCCCAGCATTTTCCAAATGTGTTTAGTGGAATGTTGACATATGTGATTCGGGAACAGACAGAAAAGAATTCTGCAGTCTGACAGGTTAACCAGAATTAAACAGGTTGCTCTAATACGGGACTTCCTAGGGCCTTTAAGATTCCAGGAAGTGTGACAGACGTTTGGAACATTTATTGGGTGCCAGGGATCCCACTAAGCACTTCACGTGCGTGACTCCATCGAATCCTTACCACTGCCGTGTTGGCACCCCATTTTACAGGTGGGAAGACAGACAAAGTGAGGTCTTGACCGTGATCTCTCAGTAGCATATAACATGAGGTCGGCATTATTCCCATTGCATAGGTGAGGCAGCTGAAGCTTCACAGAATGAAATGCCTCTCCCACAGGGCTGGCGAGGGGCTGGGTTAGAGGCCAGTCCTTCTGCATATGGAGCCTGTGCTCTGCCTTCAGCAGGTTCTCTGATCTCCAACAAGTGCTGTGCTGCATCTCGGTGCACTCGACCGCAGGACTCTTTCCTGGGAGCCCTCGGGACTGGGGTTCCTCTAGACATAGTCTGGGAAACACTACACCTGTTGGTCATTCCGCGGTCACACACACATTTCTCCCTTGGCAGCTCCTCCCTGCCAGGTTCCTCCAGTAGGGGGCACTGACCTGCTTCCTGCGGCCCTCATCCAGCTGTATCGCCCAGGCAGGCTCACCTGGCAGGACTTTGCAAACCCATCACCTCACAGGAGGGCATCTCTAGAATGTCCTCAATAGAACTGAATCCAGGCAAGATCCATTCCTCGTAATGAACTTTGTAGTAACAGTGTATCCGTACACACAGTGTTAAGTACCCGACCTGTACCGTTGTGCGCCAGAAGCTAAAACACAAGGACTGTCCTACCCCAAATGCCCTTGTCCTCCGATGAGTCGGGCCGGTACCAGGATGTCCTCTTCCCACACAAAATGGCGGAGAGAACAAGAGGTCTGAATCGTGGAGAAATCACCTCTCTTCCCAGTTGGGGTTTTGTTCAGCCAGACGGGCCTGGGAGGGAGAGACAGCCAGGAGCAGAGCATCTCCTCCAGGCCTCGTGTGGAACTGGCTTTTCTCCTGCAGAAAATGCAGGGGGGAGGCTTTTTCCGTTTGGATCCGAAGTCGGGGCATTGGGTCAGGCAGGAACCTGGCCTGTCCTCCACCATTACCTGTCACCTCCCAGCAACTCATCTGTCACCCACCTCCTCTTCCCACAGCCCACGGGGCTCTGGGGTCAGGCTTCTGGCAGTGTCACCTACTAAATTAGCACCAGGAGAGGAAGCAGAGGCAGATCCATGGCCAATTTCATTGTAGTAACGCAGGAGCCCTCCTCCCGATTCTTGCGTCCTCAAAACATAAGGAATATAGTATTACGGTTGGCTGCTCGTGGCTAGAGATCTGTTTTTGCCACAGGTTTAATTTCTGGGTAAAACTTGCGAGCCAGACTTTCTCAACCTGAGCAGAGACATCCCGCTTGAAGACTCTGAGCGCCCTGGTCCGGTGTATTGACCCTGTAGTGACCTTGTGCCTACTTTTTGATTCCTGTGTCTCAGGTCACATCAGAAGATGTCAATTCAAGTATCAAGACCTTTTTTTGTCCCAACGAGACCTACAATGACATGGCCACACTCTTCTTCAATCCCCAGGAGTCTGCCATCCTTCAGCTTTTCCACCAGGACGGTGAGAATCCGTGAGCCTGCCGTTCTCGGGCGATCGGTCTTTTCTGCAGCGAACAAATTACCATTTCTCTGCCCCTTCTGTTGGCCCACGGACACAGCCACGCTTGCCCTCAGATCTGAGCAATGGGACTTTTCTTTTGTAATACCACCCCAGACCAGGCCAGAGTTTCTGCCTCCAGTGTCGGAGGTGGACCAGTGGGGTACGGAAGGATCTGGAAGGAGCCAGGGCAGCCCGGTGGGCCTTGGTGGCATCCGGTGGTGGGACTCAGGGTGGCCCTTGCCTTGCAGGCACTTTCAGCCCTGTCACCCTGGCCTTGTTCTTCGCCCTCTATTTCCTGCTCGCGTGTTGGACCTATGGCACTTCTGTTCCTAGTGGCCTGTTTGTGCCTTCCCTGCTGTGTGGAGCCGCTTTTGGGCGTTTAGTTGCCAATGTCCTCAAAAGGTAACGTGTGTGCGCCTGAGCACGCCCGTGTGTACATGCTCGCGGGTGTGGAAACCTTGAGATCCTCAGCCAGGGTCTCGGTTTCCTTCGTCCCCAGCTACATCGGCTTGGGCCATATCTATTCGGGGACCTTCGCCCTGATTGGTGCCGCAGCCTTCCTGGGTGGGGTCGTGCGCATGACCATCAGTCTGACGGTCATCCTGATTGAGTCTACCAACGAGATCACTTATGGGCTCCCCATTATGATCACTCTGATGGTGAGTGCTCCCCTTCCCGGCCGCTCTCAGGTGCGCGGCCAAGATTCCCCACACACCCCCCCCCCGCCCCCCACAGCAGCTTCTCTTCAAGTCTTTGTTTCCTGTTTCAGGTGGCCAAATGGACGGGAGACTTTTTCAACAAGGGCATTTATGACATCCACGTGGGCTTGCGAGGCGTACCACTTTTGGAGTGGGAGACAGAGGTGGAAATGGACAAGTGAGGCCACGCCTTGTCTTCGTGTGCTTGTTTCAGAATTTATAAATTCTGGTGCCCAAGGGATGTTTGTATCAGGGTGGGAGGTGGTAATTAAGGTTCTGCGGTTGGACTGCAGGAAGCATGTAGGTGTGGCGGGGACCCGGGGGTGAAGGACAGAGGGGCCTGGTGGGGGGCAGAGGTGGGCAGGCTGCTTCCTGGTGGTCTTTGGCTCCTGTGGCATTCCGGTTAAACGCGAAGGGGGGGTCTCTCAATGAGGCCTGTGTCATGACGACGTTTAAGGGTCTGCCGAGCCCTGTTGAGTGCGAACCAGCCCGCTTCCCGCCTAATGAGTGTCATGCTATCAGCAGTGCTTATTCTGGGCATAATCACCAAATTCTCCACCAGCCCACAAATGGTTTGGGCCGCCTGTGTCTGGGTATCCCACCCGGCCCTGAGAGTCCTGCAGAGGGATCAGCAGACTTTCTGCAAAGGGGCAGATAGCGTTTTCAGCCTTGCGGGCCACGTGGTCTCTGTTAACGTATTCAGCTCGGCCACTGCAGTGCAGACGCAGGCACAGATGACACGCAAGTGAGCGGGAGAGGCCAGATCTGATCTGTAACCTGCAGTTGCCACCCCGGTGTAAAAGAACACCCCGCGCTTTTTTGTCTTTTAATTCTAATAGTACGATTAGCAGTTCAGTGGTAACACAAGCAGCGTGCCCTGGAGGGCTGAGGAGGGAATGGCCGATCACCCGGACAAGTGGATGGGGTCTGTGGGGAGGGGACATTTTGTGTGGAGCTGAGGGGTGAGGAAAGGCCCACCGGTTTGGCAGAGCAGGGAGGGGCGTTCCAGGCACGGGGAAGGGCATTTGCAAAGGATAGAAATCCAGAGGAGCTGCCAGAGAGAGAGGGAGACACAGAATCTGAAACAGGCTCCAGGATCTGAGCTGTCAGCACAGAGCCCGACGCGGGGCTCGAACTCACGGCCCGTGAGATCATGACCTGAGCCGAAGTCGGACGCTTAACCGACCGAGCCACCCAGGC